AGAGAGAGAGAGAGAGAGATTGGGGTGAGAGAGAGAGTAGGCGAGCTCCGGCGAAACAGCTCGTGCAGCCATAGCCAAATCACACAAGTATAACACAGCACATAAGTGCAAGTCAAACGAATGCAAAATGTTTGAACCGATGAGAGCAACATGTGGWSWCCACATGTTGCTCTCATCGGTTCAAACATTTTGCATTCGTTTGACTTGCACTTATGTGCTGTGTTATACTTGTGTGATTTGGCTATGGCTGCACGAGCTGTTTCGCCGGAGCTCGCCTACTCTCTCTCTCACCCCAATCTCTCTCTCTCTCTCTCTCTCTCTGTATATATATATATATCCCACCCACACAACGCGCCTCACTAGGAGGGTGGCTCAAAAAAGCCACTGTGCTCGAAAAGGAATGTTTTAGCCATGCATCCCAGGCTATATAGTATCGTATTTTTGTCAACTTGAAGTACTACGTTCCTGATGCTGGTGGGCGGCATCTTGAAAAACGACGGTTAAGACTCGGGACCATTTCACTAGCCTGATCGTCCATCCTTGTGTGTGGGTCCCGCTTCCCGTAATCCCGGATTGAAGTCCACAGACCGTCATAGCTCATTCTCAAGATACGGTCCCTCCCCGCATGCCCTCTTTTCCGTGGCACCGACTTCTCTTCTATCCTACCTTAACATCCTGTACTAGCCCTACTTCCCGCCCAGGTACGTCTATAGAGTCGGAATGAAAATGGAAACGGAAACGTAAATGAACATGCAACTGACAATGATGATGATCCCGGTATGACTCTTGCTCCCCGCCGGTCTTCTTTTTGTCTACCTCACCCCCAGGGGGGGGGGGGGGGATTACGTTCCCCTTAGTTCCCGGTCTCTCAAAATGGCGAGCTTCAAAACTCAGAGATTTCATAATTCAAAGAGTCAGATACAATCGTAAAATACAAACCAAATTCAAAAATTTGTAAAATACAAAGAAAATTCCAAAATTTCCAGAATTAGCATGCTACAGTCACGGCGGCTACTTGCGCCCGACCATATCCTCGATTCGGCGTCTACATCTCCTGTTCTAGTCCGCCGTATAGGCCAAAGCAACCAGCATGCTTTGCAGTGCCTTGCTCGACACAACCTTTGCCAAACTGGCCAGGGCACCCCCGGAGGTTTGCCTCACAGATGGCGAATCCGATTGCCCCTAAGACCAGCTCCTTGCTCATGGTCTGATCCCATAGCCTCTTAATCGTGGTGGTTAGCACGCCTTTCTTCGCGCTCTTAGCCAAATAGGAATTGTAGTCCTGCATTGACTGGAACTGCAGCTTCCTCTCCTTATACAGTGAATCGGTGTTCTTGGTACTTGGTATAAAGCGGATTCGCAAGGGAGATTGGCAGATCAACATACTGCCCCCTACAAAATCCCAGGTTGCACCGCATTCATCTTTCCGGATGACCTCGAGATTCTTGTCGTAGATGGACTCAAAGGCTTCAAATAGGTTCTCCGGGTAATCCTTGTTACTGACTCGGTGAGCGATCCCGACGATGATGGTAATGTCATCCATAATCCGCCAACCCCCGATCAATTTTCTATCACTCCCAAGTTCCCTGATGAACCGCATTTCCGCCATCGCACAGGTGATGGACGCAAGGATGGGGCTGGTAGATTTCCCCATAGGAATCCCGAACACCTGTCTGACTATTTTACCACCGCATTTCACTATTGAATGCGTGAGGTCATACTTCACTCCCTCCATGATAGTTCTCAGTGGCAGGCTTACATATCCCTCCATCTTTCTTCTATTGTTACTGATGACACATATCTTCCCCCTCATCGACACCCGAACCTGTCGGCGGCCTTTGTCTTCGTACAATCTGAGTAACTCCCGAACCGACTGGATTACCGCGGCGTGTGGTATGCGAGAGAACATCTCTTTCACGTCATAGCATTTTCCCACCGCTTGTAGGCAGCCTGATGCCCTCAGCTGCTGGGATGTCCCCTCGAGTCTCTCCGCCAGTTCCGATACCGAGTTCAGGTAGAAGGTACTGTTCGCCGGCAGCTGCTTGATAAACTGATGCAGCGCCCTCGCTATCCTCCTCTGCACCAAAGCTGTCGGGTCAGCTGGAGCTGGTGCTATCGGCCTCCAGCGAGTAAGATCTTTGTGCTTGGGGATCACATATGTTGTCCCTAGGTGGCCGTTAGGTCTCCAAGGTCCTACCTTGTCTAGTCCGCACTTTAGGAATTCCTCCCTACTCTCCTAAATAATATCCTTCTCCGAAATCAGTGTACCTATCCGGTCGTAATTCGAGTTCCAGGTGAAGGTTTTCCCGAACCCGTGCCTGTTTAGTACAGGGCATATAACAACTGTATCGCTCTGGTTACGATTGATCAGGGCTAGTACCAGATTGGCGAAGCTTGCTCCCCAAGTCTTGACCTCCTCGTCTGTCCAGGCAGTTACAGTGGACTTCGACACAGTCAACAGCTCCTTTGCATGAATGCATGGTCCTTGTGCTATTTCGAGATGTTTCGTCGCCTACTGGATCACCTTGCATATGGTACTCAGACTCCGTGCTTTCCTTGAGCGTGTCACGTTCTTCGAATTCCACACAAAGAAGGGCACGTCTAATTCCGAGAATCTCGTGAGCACGTGTCCTTCGTATTTCGGGAGATCGAGTGTCCTGCATGGGCATGGATTCTCGTCCTCGCATGTGAAGCGCTTGTGGTTATGCAACAACTCAGCCACGTTCCGATTACGCGCCCACTCTATTCGGATCCTAGACTTCAGAAAATCGATCAACGCCCTGTCACCTTCCATGTCCTCAATCAATCTCTTCGTGGCTCTTCTAATACCATTCTTCCGTAGTCGCGAGTCGAATGGTAGCGTTACATTTATCCTTCTCCATACACTCACTCCCGTCTTCCTCGCAATTACCCTATCCAATTTACTACGTAACCTATGTTTCGTCTGTTTTTCCATGAACAGACCCACCGTCTTATAAAGTCCAATGTGTTTCCTAACCGCGAGAGTAGCGAGTCTGGAGTCCGGTTTAGGTCTCCTTAGTATGGCAGTTAGCATGACCCTATTCCGCTTCGAAGTCGTCTTTGACTTCACGATCTGCCTGACTATCATTACACCTCCTTGCCGAATCACTTCCTTAGCCTCCCGTAGTTTAACTATCTGCCTGCCAAATCCAGTACCGAGTCCCCGAACTTCTGTTTAACTTTTGTCCAGCCGTCCAACCATATCGTCCCGCCTGAACTTTCCACCTTCATATCTCGTTTACCCAAATTTCCAGTCAACCAGTTTAGAACCGACACGAAATCGATTCCTTGCTCGTGAAAGGTAACCATCTTGTCAGTCTGCACCTGCCTCGATCTACCCTTCCATTCCCTCCTCCCTCGTCGGCTCTTTACTTCTCCGTTCTACCCAGGTCCCGCTAGTTCAGACTCAGGTTAAAATCCGCTATCAACTTCCTTTCTACCGCGAAATCGTCGGTGCTGTCCGCATGTCTGATCGGTATTATGAGATATTTATCAATCCTTAATTTTCTCAACCAACGGTACATATCAGGTGCGAGTCCTAACGAGTTGTTCAGTGCATTCCTACAGTGTTCCCTCCACCTCTGTATCATCGCCCTAACTGTACAACCAACATAAGTGTTCTTCGACCATGGACTGGCGAACATGTATACCCCACCACTTTGGAGCTTCAACAGACTACACATCTCATGAGTATTGGAGAGGTACTTAGTCAACCATGGGATCTTTCCTTGGACTACCAGCATCAACGCAGTCGTTGTGATCGCTGCTTCCACCGAACGTGCTGCTTCCACTGAACGTGCCGCTTCGCCCATCATACCTTCCTCCCTCTGCGTAGTTCTCTTGTGGAGCCAATCGTGTAAACACTCCCAGAGCGCCGCGTTTGAGGGGGCTGGTAAGCATCAATCCGGTGTCTCCGTGAACCGGCGTTGACCGAATGATAACTGGCACCGGCTTCTGTGTCTTCTTCTCTGTAGTGACACAGTCTTTCGTGAACTCCTTCCGAGGTGAGCCGAAAGCCTTCATCTTGGTTGACTCCTTCGTCGTCCGCTGCCCTTCATCGAAGCCGTCATACGCCAGCTCCACCCGGTGCCTTGCTAGCAGCTCCACCGCCTCGGGTTTCTTTGTATACTTAATTCCCTTCTAATCACATAGTTTCCTCAACACGTCCGCTCTCTTCGTCGAGTAAACCTTGTGAGCGGAGATACAATATTCAATCAGCACTTTCTGTGAACACCTTGCTGCCAATCCCTTGAAGCCGCCAGTCAAAGGCGTTCTTGGTTCCACCTCCATTTCCGTATCGTTTTTCGTATGTTGCAGTTCTTTGTCCCGTTGTTGATCCCTCCGTTGTCTGGAGCATTCTCCCTTTTTGTATACCCTCGGAGGTGTATTACTTGCGTTGACCCTTCCTTTCCCCTTAGAGCTCTTGGTTCTTTTGGCCATCCGTTTCTTCTTCCGTCGAGTATGGCTTCTATGTTTTGCTCCTTGGTTGTTTGAGTCCGAAGTCGCTGATGCGGACGAGTTGGTGTTGTCTTCTTCCGTGTTCGTGTCTGTGTCACTATCCTCGCTGGTCTCCCCGCATCTCTTCCTGGTGCCCGTTCCCCGTCATGACTTCGTGTTATTTCGAGGTCCTGCATATTTCTTCATCTTCTTCTTACTTGAGCTCCTTGCCTTCCCCGCTGTTCTCTCGACTACCTCGTTGTTCCTCCGCCATTCCTCCATCAGTTCTGCTTGTAGCCGCAACTTAAATTCCTCGGCTTTTCAGGCGAAGTCCTGGTTTCTTCTGAACTCGTCTTCTTCCCTGGTCTTTCTCTGTTCTTCAAGTTTATGGCTCTCCTCCATCTCACGTCTCTCCCGACGGACTTGCTTAAAATGCTCCTTCATCTCTTCTAATTCCAAGTCAAAATGCGGGTTCCCAGGATTCCGGTTCCTCCCCGCCCAACAATCGCAGGCAATGTGCCCAAACTTCCCGCAATTATAGCAAACGCCACCACCTCCACCAGTGCCTCCACCTCCCCTCATGAAGCCATTGTTGCTGATGTAGCCTTGTCCGACAACCATATTCTGACCTCCTCCATTGCTGAAACTTGGTGCCGCGTTAGCATTGCCTTGGCTACCCCCTCCGGGGCCGTTTGTGAGGAACATCTTCTCTTCGTTCGTCTTACCTTCCGTTTGAAATTGCTACCTCCGTCAGCTCAGATTGGTCCGGCCAAAGAAAAAACTCTTATCTCGCCTCCCTCTAAAATCAAGGTATTCAGCCTTCCAGCATCCTAGGATCACCTTGGCTATTCCCTCTTAACTAAAGCTAGCTGACCACCTTCTTTCACTCTCTCCAGATATCGATAATCTCCCGATATCGTAACCTTCGCCTCGTTCGCAAGGTGAGTAGAGTCGTCTCAATCCTAATCAGCAAGTTCATAAGCCTATCATATAGTGCCGCTCTTAGATTATCACTGGCCACGAACCTAATCATATGATGCATGGGTTCAATCGTGTTTCTCACATAGTCTTCTTGCGCCTGGATGAGTTGCGTACGCACTGTGTAGAGTGTCCTAGTCCCTCTACCGTCGCCTCCTCATCTAATACAAGGCGTCGTCATGTCTTAAAAGGGTAAGGCGACGATCATCATGCCGATACCTATCAAAATCACACCGATCCTATATAGAATACAACGTACTGGTTTCCCACCTTTTCCCATATCTCCCATTCTAAATGTCACGTGGTTAGTACTGGTTACCCTCCCCGAAAGCCCCTGCTTTAGCGTCTCCGTTCTCCACCACTACGGCTACCTAGCAATCTTTACCTTCCCAGGTTACGTATCCCCTGTTCACCCCGCACCCCTCCTCCCAAGCTTCACTCCTTTATCCTCCTCCGTATCCTAGAAGTACACGAAGTCTCTAACAGGATTCCCCACCCAATGTCGTTCTCCCCGGTCCGCCTTCTCGTACTTCTACGCGATATGACGCGATATGTCAACGCAACCACCGCCCAATGCGCGCAAGCTGACGGTTACTACGAGCCCACGAGTAGTCGAGCTGCGGCTAAACAGCTCGTGCAGCCAAAGCCAAATCACACACGTATAACACAACACATAAGCGCAAGTCAAATGAATGCAAAATGTTTAACCGCTGAGAGCAACATGTGGTGTCCCCTGACCGGTTCCGCCCGCCCACACAACGGGCCTCATCAGGAGGGTGGCTCGAACGAGCCTCTATGCTCGAAAAGGAATGCTTAAGCCATGCATCCCAGGCTATATAGTATCGTCTCTCTATCAAGTACTACGTTCCTGATGCCGGTGGGCGGCATCTTGAAAAACGGCGGTCAAGACTCGGGACCATTCCACTAGCCCGATCGTCCATCCTCGTGTGTGGTTCCCGCTTCCCGTAATCCCGGATTGAAGTCCACAAACCGTCATAGCACATTCTCAAAATACGGTCCCTCCCCTCATGCCCTCCTTTTCGTGTCGCCGACTTCTCTTCCGTCCTACCTCTACATCCTGTACTCGCCCTGCTTCCCACCCAGGTACGTCTATAGAGTCGGAACGAAAATGGAAACGAAAACGTAAACGAACATGCAACTAACCATGATGATGACCCCGATATGACTCTTGTTCCCCGCCGGTCTTCTTTTTGGCTACCTCACCCCCAGAGGGGGGGGGGGGGGGGTTACGTTCCCCTTMGTTCCTGGTCTCTCAAAATGGCGAGCATCAAAACTCAGAGATTTCGTAATTCAAAGGGTCGAATACAATCGTAAAATACAAACCAAATTCCAAAATTCGTAAAATACAAACAAAATTCCAAAATTTCCAGAATTAGCATGCTACAGTCATGGCGGCTACTTGCGCCCGGCCATATCCTCGAGCCGGCGTCTACATCTCTTGTTCCAGTCTGCCGCATAGGCCAGAGCAACCAGCATGCTTTGCAGTGCCTTGCTCGGCACAGCCTTGGCCAAACTGGCCAAGGCACACACACACACAGAGAGAGAGAGAGAGAGAGAGAGAGATTGGGGAGAGAGAGAGAGAGAGAGAGAGAGAGAGAGAGAGAGAGAGAGAGAGAGAGAGAGAGAGAGAGAGAG